CCGAGTGCTGGGATTAAAGGCATGTGCCACCAACGCCCAGCCAAATGAAGAAAAATTTTAAGAAATAAAAGTTAACCATGCTACACACATACAGGTAACGCTCCCATGCACATAAAATGTAACAGTAAAACAAAAATATAAATGTGAAATTGGTAATATTTTTATAGACTAAAATTAACTACAAGAAAAATGAAACCAGAATAAAGCATCAAATGATCTTAGGTATAAGTTGAGCCAATGGTGATGGATGTATACTTGGAAAACTAGAAGAGACAACTGAAAAAAATTTACAAATGATAGAAATATATGGAAAACTATCCTGTGTTCACAGATTGAAATAATCAGTAACATTAAAATATCTATACTAAAATACATTAATATGCACATCAGAGAGGCAATTAAGGATGACATAAATCTGTGTTCCTGAGTCACATGGCACATAAAATTTGAGCCATGGTCACTCAAATTTGACTCTAGAATGAGTAGGTATTCTCTCTCTCTCTCTTTCTCAAATAAAGAAATAAAAGAAAAAGAAAAAAATACTACCAAAAGTGATTGATAAAACAAAAACAACCCCATCAAAAAACAAAAGTCATTTTTCATAGAAATAGAAAAAAAGATGACCCTGAAATTCCTGCTCATCAGCACTGAATACCCAATCAATTTGAGGAGCATAAACAAGCATGCGGGAATCACATTAGCTATGTCAAAGTAACCTACAAAACTGGAGTCAACCTAAGCAGTATAATATTGGCACAGAAGATACAGACAGATCAATATAATATAACAGAGAACCTGGAAATAAGCCTGTGCAGTCATAGGTAATGGATCTTTTAACAATGCTGCCAAGAATACATGTTGGAGTAGGCTGATTTTTCAATAATTGGTGTGGGGAAGCTGGGTATTCCACATGCATAGAAGAAAAACACTTCATATCGTGTGTAAAATTTAGCTCAAAATGAATAAAGCCTAAACTGTAAATCTGAAAATATAAAACTTCCAAAAGAAACTGGGGAAAGCTTTTTGCTATTAGACTGGGCAATGATTTCATATTTTTTATTTGGATGACCCCAAAAGTAAAGATAATAACAGCAAATATATGCACATAAAGTTATAACAAGCTAAAAATCTTTAGCACAGAAAACAATCTACAGAATAAATAGACTGTGGATGAATAAATATATCTGAAGATTATGTATCTGGTTATAAGTTAAATTCAAAATAGATAAACAACGATTCAACAGCAAGAAAACAAATCACTGGATTTCTACAAAGTCAGAGGACCTTTGCATGGTGACAAGATCTCTAATTCCAGCATCCATCAGGCTGAGACAAAGAGATGGCAAGTTTGTGGCCAGTTAAACAGCATAATTTTGCATAAAAAACAACAAAATGCGTGAAGGACCTGAATAAATGCTTATTAAAACATGCATTGCCCATAAGCAGATGAAAATAAAATGTTCAATAGTATTAATTTCAAATAAATAGAATCCAAAGCCTACCAATTGGCTATTTTGTGCACAGTTGGTAAGAATACAGATTAGTATAGAAAATATGGATGAGTGAAGAGATTTCTAATCAAATCCATCTAGAAATTCTGTATGATCTGATAACCCAACTTCTCAGTTTATGACCAAAGGGAATGAGGTTGCAATCTTGAAGATAAATTGGTATTCCTTTGTTCATTGCAGCATTTTTCTCCATGGCCAATATAAGGAATCAACCTAAAACTTCCCATATGGAAGGATGGTTAAAGAGACTATAACATGCAGGAGAATTGACAGGACAGATAGATATTGGTATAACTCATATATGTAACTCAGAATTTAAAAAGAAAGAACCACTGTCATTGATGAAAATCTAGAGGGTGTTATGTTAAGTTAAAGAAAACAGACACAGAAAGCTAAATATTTCTTTGTAATCTCACTTACATGCAGGGTCTTAAAATGTCTAACTTGTGGAAGCAGAATAGTGACTGGAAGGGATTAGGTATAAACGAGCACAGATTTTCATTAAGGGGTGATGAGTATGTTCTGCAGATCTAATGAACATGATGATGGCTATAGCTAACAACACCAGATTTTATAATGACTGCTTAGACTGTAGATGTTAACACACATCCACACGGTAATCATGAGAACAGACATCTGTGGATATGTTGTTTAGCTTTATTATATCGATATATAGTATAGTCAATGGGAGGGACAGCCTTTCACCTTGGGAGCACTGAAGACTTTATACTTGCAGTGTTCCTGGCAAAGGTAGCTTCGCTTATAAACAGTTCTGTGCAAGAGACTACTCCTTTCCAAATGAAAGTTAAAATTGCTTATTTCAAATTTTCTTTTCTAAAAGGGAAATACATTTATGCACTTAAAAAAAAAAAGCCTGTCAATGAACACTCCCAATCTGTTGCTTAGCCACTGAGTCCATATCTGGTAGCAGAGAGTGATTCTGATTGGAAACATTAAGATACAAAGCCTCTAAGCCTCCGATTCCAAACCTGATAGCACAGCTTACCATGTCTCACCTGATCTTGATCGCAATTCACACTCACAGTCACACCGTTCTCTTTGGGTAGGAGAGCCATGCAGACCACTCCATCTGAAGAAACAGCCCCACCTCCATGCTACCTCCCCTTTCCCCACAACACTCTTGCTATACTGTTTTTTTCTTTTCTTTTTTTTTTTTTTAAGTTATTGTCCCCTCAAAAGCAGGGGCTGGTCTCCTGCACTACGTTGCATCTAAACTTCTCTCAACCACATCTAGTCTATACTGCTTAACAAATAATGCTTGGATGAGTGAATTAAGAAAAACCCGCTTCAACCTGAACTTCAACCGAAATAGAAAAATTAATGAAAAATATAAAACCATAAAGGTTTTAGGAAGGAGAAAATCTTCAAAGTCTTAGGCCAGGCTAAGGTTTGATGTCGAAAGCATAAATGACCCAGGAAGACATATGTTCTAAATTAGACCTCATAAAAATTGAAAACGCTCTGCAATCATTGTTAAAAGATTTAAAATGCAAGCTACAGGGTGGAATAATGTTTGCAAATCACGCATCAGATGAAGAAGAACACTTAATAAAACATGTAAACAATATATAAATAGATAACGCCCAAGGAACCTTCAAAAGTCACTGGCAGGACTCAAACAGTCCAATTAGAAAAGAAGTAAAATGTAAAATCAGATATTTTACGGACAAGCAGGTGTCAGTAAATAGGCATATAGAAAGTATTCATTGTTGGCCATTAGGAAAATGAAAATTTAACCCAGAATGAAATATCACTCCATACATATCAGAATAAAGAAATAAAAAGTGAGAACAACTCTAAATGCCAACATAGCTTCTTAGAGAACTCATCATTCAACGGCCATACAACCTAGCAACTGCACTCTTGTGCAAAGATTACACGTAAACAAAACTGTGTTTACACGAGAACCTACAAAAGCATTCATAGCAGTTTATTCATAATTGCCAAGAGCCGGAAGCAGCCCAGATGTCCTCCAATGGGTGCATGATCTAACAATTTGTTGCACTCATCACTGAGAGGCAGCGAACTATGTATGACTATACCAGCAACCTAGAGAGTCATGGAGGATCGGGCTGACTTAAAAAGGCATAGTCAACGTGTATGATTCTATTTACACAACATATTTCATGGAAAATCTAAATAAAACCAGTCAATCACATCAATATCAATACCTGATTGTAATACAATGCTACAGTTTTGCATTGGGAAAACGAGGCCAAGTATAGGAGACCTCTGCATTATTTCTTACAACTGCATATGAATCTATAACTATCTCAGTTAAAATGTCAATTTCATAATGATATCAGGTAAAATCAAACTGAATCTTGAGTCCTAGTCAAGGGATTTGAACTCTTAAATAGGCAGCTGGGAAGCAAAGAAACAGGTTGCAACAGAAGATTCCAGATGAGTAGAACAAAAGAACCAATAGGTTGATGATGAATACAGTGGGCTAAAAAAATCATGAAAGCAGGAAATCCACAGCAGAGCCTAGAGTGAGGCTATATTGGAACCATTATGCCACCCTGCTAGATGCTGGGTAGATCCAGGCCTGCCTTCACCTTGGTACCTTCAGGTTTAATACTCATTTACTTTATACCTTTTTGTTGTTGTTGTTGTTCTTATGTGTGGTTTGCTTATTTGTTTATTTTGGTAATTTGCACTGCATTTGAGAATCTGATCATGATCAAGGGATTTTCAAGAGCACCCTCATGACAAAGAATTTATTCTTTTATTGTATAATTTTAACATTTTTCAAAAATGAAGGAAGAAAGTCATACCTGAAATTATATTTTAATTCAATAAAACAAGAATTCACTCTTGATAAAACTGTTATAATTTTATGAATATAAGCAAAAAATTTTGTTGTGTGTGTGTATGTATGTGTGTGTGTGTGTGTGTGTGTGTGTATGTGTGTTCACATGTTTACCCTGGCACGCATGTAAAGGTCAGAAGACAACTTGAGGGATGTCTTTCTTTCCTTCCACATGTGGGTGCCATGGATTGAATTTAGGTCATCTGGCTTAGCAACTGCCATCTTTACCAACTGTGCCATCTCCAGAGCCCAACTGGCATGTTTTTAAAAAATAATTTTAAGATCTTTGAAGATCTGAAAATATATTAGACTTGTGATCCTAATTAATTTTAAATGAGTGTTGATAAAATTTTGATTAAATGAGTTTACAATCTATTTTTAAAGGTCTGAGGAAATTTAACTTGTTAATTTTGCGTTTCAGTTTATTAGTTTTATAATCAGCTTTAAATGTCCAGACAAATAGAATTTAATTTATATACTTATGTAATCCTGACTACAATAAAATATGACTATGGAGAATCCTCTCACATTAAACATTCTCTTTATCTAGCTTCAGAGCCCAGTCTCTCATGGCTTCGTGTCTCTCTCCATGCCATCCAGGCAGCCTCAGCAAAGCTACATCAGAACTAATGTTGATCAAGGAAGAGCAGACATACCTTATGGGGTTGTCCATCCTGGACACTGTGAGGAAAGCAGCAAGGTTGGCTGTGTAGGAGGAACACACAATGAGGGTGAAGAGCCACCAGCTGCCCATCACAATGCGCATGGCCACAGAGTTCACAGACGACTCACCACCTGCAGAATGAAGAGGGGTTAGCTGTGCCTTACTTTCACCCTGACCCCCAGCAAGATTCTGCCCTTCTTGGCCAAGGTCAAAGTCTCCTATCACTTGTGCACTGGACATTATTTTTTTAAAGGAAATGTTATTAAAACCACCAATACGGGGAAAGGCCAGAGGATGGCAAAAGGCAGAAAAATTAGGACTAGAATCTAGTGATGAAAAATTTGTCATAACATCGAGTCTTCCAGCTGGAAGATTCTATCTCATTGTGGCAAGAACTTCCAGAGCTATAGCTCAACGTAAGATCTTCGGCAATCTCAAATTCACATAGTACACTTAGGAATCTGTAAATAAAGAATTTTTTCCTACCTGGAGGTCTTCTAGCTTTCTTTTAACTCAGAGAAATGAGATCTCCCATTTCACTTTTATTAATATTCAGCCCTCCCTGGATGGTTTTCCCCTCCAGGATTTTCAGAAAACACTGCTTGTAAAATTCAGCGAGAAGCTACCTCTCTGTAGCCAATTATTTCTCTCTGGTCCCTTGGGTGGTGGGAGAGGAAAGCTTCTCCCTCCTCCTTAGGTAACCTTGAAAGGATTTTGCCATGATGCACACAGAGTTGAGATCCACATTAAGGACTTTGCAATTTGTTTCTGGTCAAAATCGCACAATCCTGAAATGCATCATAGGACAGAAGTGTCACCAGGCCTCTCAAAGGGAGGAGTCTGTAGTTCAAGACTCGCTGGAGTACCACTTACAGATTGCTACACGCTATGTTGATGTTTAATCAGAGTTCCCTTTGACAACCTCATGTGCGTAAAAAAGCAACCTAACTTGGGAAGGGAGGAAAATGCCCTGAAATCCAAAGTAAATTTTATCTAAAATGGAGAATCAGGAAAGGAAGTTGACTTCTTTGTTACTTTATTTAATTTCTACCTGATACTGTTTAGAAAAACCGAATACAGCCAGATATCGGCACTGTTCTGAGATTAAATATAATTACATTTGAAGTGACTTTTGTGATATGCATCTGGGGAATTTTACTAAAAGATAGGCTTTTTCAGGCCCCCAGGGCTATTTGGACAACAGAAAACTGGGAATGCACCTTGCTGAACAAAGGCTCCATAGACAATCCAGATGGCACTGTGCAGGGTGGCAGAAGCAGAAGGTCGTGGTTGGGCAGCGCTCTGAGCCCGCACAGCCTGTATCCGGTTCAACACGAATATGAGCACACCAACCACAGGGATGGCGGCTGCGATGCAGGCCCACACCGCGAAATCAAAGGGGGCAAAGAGGGAGAAGATGCTGATTTTCTCCTCGGGTTTCTTGATGAGGATCCCGACAGAGTAGTCCATGTAGCGCTTGCTGAAGTCCACAACACTCTCCCTCTCTGGGGTGATGGTGATGGCAGAGATGGCCAAGTCTGCTCTCTGAAAGACAAAGAAGTTCGCAAGAGGTGACCTTTGGGTCATTGCTGATTTCCACCCTAGGTCAAGGTCCACCTTCTGCCATTTCAAAGATCTACCCAGAGGCGATGGATTTGAGAGTGACCCCTGAGAATTCTGAGAATATGAGAAGAAATCCAGGTTATCTATTACCTCCTTCACCTCACAGATGTCCCTCCGTAGGCCTAAGATCTCCTAGGACATCCTTTGGGACAATAAAATTCAGTTAAGTATCTTCACTTCCAATGAATTACACTTGCTTGTTTTCTTATCATTCCACCTAGCAAACCTAATCTCCTTTTAGTTTCTACCTGTGTTCCAGTCAAAATTCCATAACACTAATGGAAGTGTAATTTAAAAGGGCACTTGGCCTTCTTTCCACCAAGGACACCCTTCTTCCTTCAAGCATAGCAAGGGCTCAGATATCTGCCATCTCTTAAGCAAGTTTCTGGAACTTCCAGTATCCCACATCCATAGACTGTACTTCTAAAATACTTTAAAAGTTAAATGATGGTTCAATGATGTGGGGGTGTCATAGATCAATCTGCTGATTTCATTGGTTAACTAATAAAGAAACTGCTTGACCCTGATAGGTTAAAACATAGGTAGGTGGAGTAAACAGAACAGAATGCTGGAAGGAAGAGGAAGTGAGCTCAGAAGCCATGCTCCCCTCTCCCGGGCAGATGCGATGAAGCTCTGACCCAGGATGGATGTAGGCTAGAATCTTCCTGGTAAGCGCACCTTGGAGTGCTACACACATTATTAGAAATGGGCTAGTCCAGGTGTGAGAGTTAGCTGAGAAAAGGCTAGATATAATGGGCCAAGCAGTGTTTAAAAGAATACAATTTGTGTGTAGTTATTTCTGGTGTGAGCAAGCCATGCAGGCAGCTGGGTGCCGGGGACGCAGCCCCGCCGCTCCCTCATACAGTACAAGTATGTTCAATCTCAAAAATGTATGTCTTCATTAATTTTTAAATAGTTTTTATTTATTGTGTGTGTGTGTGTGTGTGTGTGTGTGTGTGTGTGTGTGAAAGAAAGACACAAAGAGGATGTGAGCTCAGGTCCATGTGTGGAGACACAGAGAGGGGTGTGCGTGCAGGTCACATATTCTTACTTTCTAAGCCATCTTTCTGCCTTTCTTGTTTTATGTGCATACTTTGTGTTAAGGCAGGGATTCTCAGCCTTCCTAATGCTGTGATCCTTTAGTACAGTTCCTCATGTTGTGTTGACCCCCAGACATAAAATTATTTTCATTGCTACTACATAACTATAATTTTGCTACTGTTAGGAATCATAATGTAAGTCTATATTTTTCTGGTGTTCTTTGGCAACCCCTGTGAAAGAGTCATTTGTCCCCCAAAGGGGTTGAGGGTCACAGGTTGAGAACTGCTGACTTAGAAAATATGGTAAAATGTTGAAGGTGCCTACACCAGTGCATGTCTGGTTCTTGTCTTTCTTCTCAGGAATCAAATATCCAGCAGTCCCGTTTAAGGTTGTAAGAGTTTGAATCCTATTAAAGAACTGAAAGAGAGAGCCTCTGAGATGGCTCAGCAGGCACAGGTACCTGCCATCAAGCCTGACAACCTGAGTTTGATCCCTAGGACACATATTTAGAAGAAAATTGACTCCTGCAAGTTGTCCTCTGGCCTACTTAAGGACGTGGGTGTATGTTTGAGTGCCTACTACAGACACATAATATGCATATCACACACACACACACACACACACACACACACACACACACACAGAGTATTTTTAAAAAGCAAAGCTCCAAAACCACAGAGAAACCCTGTCTCAAAAACAAACAAACAAACAAACAAACAAAAAAGCAAAGTTCAAAACAGATTTAAGAGCTGTGAAAGAGATTAAGTTGGAGCTGGGGAGGTTAACAGCACAGGATGGATGAAAAACTCATTTATGAAGCAAGGTCCAGAGGAGGCACACTGAAACTAAATTAAAACACAGGTTCAGAGCTTCCTGTAACTGGAGAGAGATACTCCTCCACTAACAATGGAGGCCCTGTGCTTATAGGGTGTGTTTCATGGCAAGTAGAATTTCATACCTAGAAGTCTTAATTTATTTCTCAAATATAGAAGGATAACTCATATTTTTGAGAAGGAAAAAAGGTTATTAGATTTCTTGAGGAGAAAAAGAAAACCTTTGAAGCATATCTGAGGGATGTAGTCATGACATCCAACAAAGGAAAATGGGAGACAGTTGAGGATGGAAACCACAAATATCCATAAATTAATCTGGATAGACTTACAGATTTCGTGTAGAAACCTGGTTGTACACTTTGAGGATAGATAATAAAATTGATTCAAGTCATGTATATAACAAGAAATCAAGGACACCAAAAATCATATGTAATGAACTGTACAAGAGCTTGTGTGGTTTACCACAGGGTACACAGGTTAAGGAAGGCTACAGTGTCGAACACATAAAGAAACATAAAAAAAATGGATACATCTCAAATATGTTTGCCATATGGAAAGATCCACACACCAGGGACCACATACCATATTCTTCCACATATACACAGTGTCCCCAACTGCAACTCTATTAAGCAGTGATTCTTAAACTGTGGGTCTCAACCCCTACAAAGGTTACACATCAAACATCCTTCATATCAGATGTTAATATAATGATTCATAACAGTGGCAAAATTACAAAAGTAACTATGAAAATAACTTTATGGTTGGAGGTCACTACATCATGAGGAACCGTATTACAGGGTCTCAGCATTAGGAAGGTTGGTAATCACTGATCTAGAGGACACAAGAAGACTAAGGGATGAGAGTAAGAATAGAACTAAGTAATTATATAAGAGTTACCACAAAGGGACAATGGAAGTGCTCTGAGACTAGAACACAGTGGGACTTGCACAAACTCTGTACAATTGCTAAGTATCATTGAAATGCAGCTCTGAACTGGGTAATTTTTATATAGTATCTAAATTCTACTGCAATAAAGTTCCTTTTACAAGAATAACTAATGGAATGTGGCAAGGTAATAGTCCTAGTATCTCCCCACATAGGCTTTGGAAACAAGATCCTACGTATCAGGAGAAAGCTTCCCCTCCCCCCCCAAAAAATTGGAAAGACAACAGGTTGTGGTCACTAAGTAGTATAGAGGGTGTCCTACAGGATGCTAATAAGAGACATGGGAATGGTTACACTAAAGGTGACTGTAGGGAGACAAGATGGCATGAGTCCTGGGTAGTCCACAGCAATGTCAGGAATTGTCAAGAGTGATAGAAGCCGTTATAGTAGAGAGAGAGTCACTGTTGTAAATAATTGTCAGTAAATGACTTAGAGGCCATGAAATAACAAGAACAAGAGTAGGAGGTGGTGAATCATTTTCAGGCTAGGAGTTTCAATGAGGATATATTTAGCAGTGATGTGAGATTCCCTTCTGTATGTTGTGAATTTATTGGTTAATGAAGGAACTACTTTGGGCCTATAGCAGAGCTTTAGGGGAACAGAGCTAGGCAGGGAAAACTAAACGGAATGCTGGAAGAAAGTAGGTGGGGTTGGAGAGAAGCCATGTAGCCATGCCGAAGACAGAACTTTAGCCGGTAAGCCAAAGCCACATGGCAATACACAGATTCATAGAAATGTGTTAAATTAATATGTAAGTTAGCCAGTAAGAAGCTAGAGCTAATGGATTAAGCCATGATTCAATTAATATAGTTTCTGTGTGTGTTTCAGGGCTAAGTGGCTAGGAACCAACAAGTGGCCCTCCTCTTACCAACTGGTGCTCCAATGTGTGCTAGCTAAATTCATGTAAAACCTGAGAAAGCTTGAAAAGGAATTCTAGACACAAAAGAACCATTTAGTACAGTTTCTTCGTAGCCACAAATTGTTTTTCTAGATGGGCTTGCTACAAGCAAGGCTCCTGGAGACACAGTAAAAACTGTAAGTGGTAGCTTCCTGGTTCACAAGCACAAGCGGCTCTGGCTCTATATGGAGGTTCAGCTATCAAGCATTTAAATGGAGTTTGTGGATAGTGTACTGCAAGTTGCTTGGTGGCAGCATGGGCCAACTGGTTATCAGAGTTTAGGCAGAGAGGGTGGCTCCCACCCAGCAGTCTCAAGCACTAAAGGACTTCCACCATGTTGGACTCTGCAGAGCAAGCAGGAAGTATTATTTATACCCTAGTAATGGCGCAACTTAGGTTTTTAAGAAATACTTAGCATTTTAAGAAGCGCTCCTGGACAGTAAATTACAGATACATAATAGGACAGATTCAGACATAAAGGACCTCTAAAGGAGTCACAGTGTTGAATAAATATATGTAGGCTTGGGAGAGAGAAGAAATAGAGAGTCATAAAAGAAAGCAAATAGTTTATAAAAAAAAAACAAAGTCTTTAAAAAGGCAGAGTACAAACAGTCATAGATTAGAAGGAGTAAAGAAAAAAAAGTAATGTGGAAGTGGAAAATTCACAGAGAGTCTGGATTATGAATATTGTTGTATTTTCTTTGAATTTTTTAACCATGAATGAGCTAAGTACAGAGAGGCATTTCATTGTATGGGCTGCTAAGCTAAACCAGCATGTATATTATTAAGGTATCTTGACTTCAGAATTTGGGTCTAAGGATATGTTGCTTTGGAAAAGGGGTTCTTCTTTTGTTTTCACAGAAGATGAGAACCTATAGATTAATTCCAGACTAATGTGGTATGATGGACCGAGATCCCCTGACAGGTTGCGGTGAACACCCCAAAAAATATTTTGCCCAATAAAAAGCCGGAAGCAGTTTGGAGAGAACTACGCCCATATTACTGAATAATGATTACAATTTTTTTTTACATTTAAAGGGGAATATGCTATAAAGATTTGCATTGGCATGGATCTTGGTTTATTGCTACAAATTTAAGGTCAATTTTGTTATACTGTGTATATATATTTCTGCTTTTGATTAAGTAATTGTGTTTTTACAGCTCATTTAAAAATGTAATGTATAATTAAGAAATATAGGTTAATAGAGAGTCATCTATAATAGTCATGCTTGTAGTCATGTTAGGTTTTTTAGATGTATAGAGATATATTTCAGTTATATAGGTATTCTTCAAATCTTTCAGATACCTTCAGAATATGGCATTTAAAATGTTTAAATTATTAACTTAAGACTTTTCATGACAATGAGACACATCTGCTCCTGGCAGCACCAATTACTTCAAGAGGAAGATGGACACTGAAGAGGCTCCTTACGCAATCTGTAAGCCATTTGGTCAAGAAACCGCTCTTGCCTGGACTGCTTATTGAACTGAACATGCAAGACCCACAGAAAACTGAACTTTCCTAAAGAAGGTGAGACATCCTTTGGGGCTCCTGTTTCATAAAAGAGTTTGCCAGACATTCTTCAGGACACAGCAGAAAGTTACTGAAAACTACCAATATAGGCAGAACTATCTTTAAAATTTCTTGCTTCGTGGAATAGTCTGCTGGATACTATGGGCCTATAGGCTAAAGATGTATGCCCCAATGGTACAGAAGAACTTTGGGTGACTGTTCAGGCAACGAGAAGTCTCTGTCGATTCTAGAGTTTTGGAAGTTACTTACAATGAACTTATCGTTTACTTAGGTGATATTATATCCTTCTGGAGTCTTTGATGGAGTTGAAGAATAGATAAATAGTTTTCCTTAGATATGATAAAAGATAAAGTAGATATAAATATTTTAACTGTAATTCCTGCTTGGTACCTGTCTTGTTATATGTAATTTTACTATGTTAAAGTTAAAACAGAAAAGGGGAGGTGATGTGGGATTCCCCTCTGTATGCTGTGAATATCATTGGTTAATAAAGAAACTGCTCTGGACCTATAGTAGAGCTATAGGAAACAGAGCTAGGTGGGTAAAACAAAACTGAATGCTGGGAGAAAGGAGGTGGAGTCAGAGAGAAGCCATCTGCTGGAGACAGATGCCAGAACTTTAGCCATGTAGTGATATACAGATTAATAGAAATGGGTTAAATTAATATGTAAGAGTTAGCCAATAGAACTAAGGGCCAAGCAATGATTTAATTAATATAGTTTCTGTGTGATTATTTCAGGCTAAGCAGCCAGGAACAAACTAGTGATCTCCATTCTACACTGCAGATAGGAGGAAAAAGGTCACAATGTGAAATGTAAGATATGTGAGGATGCCACACCTTCAACACACAACAAAGCCAACATGTGAACAGGTCTACTCACACTCACACACATTTGCACAGGTGTACACTACACTTGTAGTTTGTAAGACATGAAAAAACAAGCACTTGGCAGAACTCAATGGCTGGGGGATGGGAGGGGGATGAGTTTCCCATTTCAGTCCAAGAATGGAAGAGGTTTATTAGAAGGTGAATTACAGAGAAGGTTTATTACAGGGGGCAGGTTGGACAGGAATGAGTAATGTACAGGAAGGGGAAAGTCAGGGCTGACGGGGTATGAGAAAATAAAAGATCAGAAATAGGTACAGCATGGAAGACAGAGAGGAAACAGGCACCTTGGCATCGCCCTAAGGGGTCAAATTTAGGTATCACTTAGAAAGGTATTAAAATTCTTCTCTTTGTGGCCTTGATCCTGGAACTTACCTTGCTAATGAGCTCCCCGATCATCCCGTTCCAGGAGGTGTTATGAAGCTGGTGACCATACCTGCCATCAGGGGCCTGGTATATCTCATACTTGAATCCCAGAGCCTTAGCCAATGCATCCAGCACATCTATGGAGAACCCTTTGTAACGTTTGGGCTGTCCAAGGATGTTCTCAGCCACCATCACAAAAGGCTCTTCCTATAGAAAACAGAATGAATATTCTTTAAACCAACAACAGTTTAATTGGTATATATTTCCAGGATATTGTTACAGAGACAATCTGGTGAATTGCAACATCAGAATGTAAGTATTAGGGCTGGGGGCATAGCTCAGTGCTTAAGCAAATATTCTTTTTCTATTCTTTTCTTTAATTTTACATTCCAATCACAGTTGTTCTTCCCACTCTCCCTTACCTCCTCCCAAGCTCACCCCCATCCACTCCTCCCAAAGGGTAAAGGGATGCCATGGAGAAAGTCTGGCTTATTAAGTTGGAGAAGGACCAAACCCCTCCCCAGTGTGTTAAGGTTGAACATGGCATTCCACTATAGGGAATGGTCTCCAACAAGCTAGCTCATGCACCAGGGATAGATCCTGGTCCTACTGCCAGGAGCCCCTCAGATTTAGCATATATAACGCCCTAGGTTCCATTCCCAATGTGGATAATAATGATATTAAGAGCAGCAACAGTAGTGTAATGTTGGTATTTACCCAATTTCTACCCAGAGACTGAACTCCCCTGCCCTTTTCTAAGAGCACTTTATGGACAGTCAAGGAACAGTGCACAGGAGCAGTACTCTAGCCAGCAGGTCAGCATGGGGCAGTGAGGATTTAATTGTCCTGTGTATTTCTTCCTAGCCTCTATCCTAACCCTCAGACCCCACAATAAAATGGTGTCTTTTCTTTCCTTCTTCTACAGAATTCATACGGACACAGGACTCTGTCCTTAGGGTATGCCATTTATGGTCGCCACAGAAGAATCATGACAGTTTTCATGTAGAATAATACATGGACATAAAACTGTGTGATATTAGACAGTGAGAAAACAGCATTTCATCTATCAAGCTGCACTAGAAATAAGTGTCCATTAACAGGATAATGCTATACCGTAACTCAACGGATGAAGAAGGGTCAAACCCCAAGATCATGAATCCACAACCATGCTGAGTTCATACCTACAGACTATCTATGCCCTGGGAGGTAGACGACCATCTAGAAACATCTACCCCATATCATATCTTCTTGTGTGAAATTGAATATGAAGGGGCTGAGGGCAAAGTGTCCACTGGTAATGCTAATGGAGTTCCTTTAGTTAAAAGAAATAGGGTTTAAGGCTCATTTATTGTATACACATAAGGAATGCAGAAAGATTACAGGCAAATGCTTCTGAGTTTTCTGGGAGGAAATGACGGAATTGAGCTGTGTCTGGGATATCCCCAAATGGGAACATTTTAAGTTCTTCCAAAGGGAAAAATAAATTTTAAAATATATTAACCTAAGCCTCACAATTATAACAGCCTAAGATTCTAGGAAAACAATGTAGAAAAATATAACTAATTAACATTTTTTCACTGCACACTTATTATCACATTTATCCTCAGCAGTGTTGGCCAGCAGGAGAAGGTCCTCCCACAGGCATCATTCTAGGAAACCTGCTATCGACATTGTAGGAGCCCAGCAGCATGAGTGGTCCTCCTTCTATATGCTGGAGATCTCTCCTAGAAGTCCCAGAAGTCCCTGGAGAGACTCTTCCATCTCATTCTCCCTTAGGTGGGCCCACATGATAATTTGTATGAAAGGACTCATGGAACCTCAACATCCCCTCCCCAACCCTACATTAACCAGAGAGGAGCCTCTGAGTCAGAGACCTGGAAAATGAAGTTCCCAGGACATCCCCATGATCCTACCAAGACAGTCACCACTTTGAGAGTCAGTCCTTGGAGGCGACTGCCCATGGGCCTTTCCTGCAGACTGCCATTCAAGCCCTTCTCCGAGTCCCAGGTCGCCAGCTGTGGATAAAACAGGGAAGAGTAAGGGGTGGAAGAGTCTCATATACATGTTAGGGGCTCCTACTAAACTGGAATCTTGAATGAGACAAGCAGACAGCAACAGCCTAGGCCTCTTAGAGACCCAGAGGCATCTCAAAACCATTAAAAGGACAGAGAGTCATCAAGCAGAAAGTTTCACTTCCTCCATCGATGTCACCGGAGGCCCAGAGTTCCAAAAATCCCAGAAAACAAAGACAATTAGTAGGATTTTGCCTCTGGAATAAATGTTTATGCCTAATTTTATTTTGTCCTCTATGGATGTGATGTCACTATGTATCCCACTATGTCTTTAACTTTCCCTTTGATGGTATTACAATCAGTTGAACTGAGATAGAATAATAATGCAATTAACAAAGATACAAGTACATGGCTTATCTAACATTCTGTGGCCATGATGCCAAGGAAGGGCTAAGTTCTCTCTGCCTGTTTGTGCTGTAGTACAAGCTCTATAACTTTCTATGATATATAGATAGAAGCTGGTAGCCAAGTATATGTGCTTGGTATCTGCCGGTATCTTTATGAGGCTTTAGGCTGTATCCAGTACTTTGTTGCATCTTTGATGTTTCCTAAGGAGATGGAGAGGACTCTGGCTTTGAAACAATAGAGAAAAAGTATTCAAGAGTCACTTTTCCTTCCTGCATGATACAAGGTCTCAACAACAATGACTAAATCCTCTTTTCGCCAATGAACAAGAGACAACAGACACTTCTTGAGCCAACTAAATCAGAACCTTGAGGTCTGGTCATGGGGAATATTAATGCAACCTGCGGCATAGCTTATCTGTGTCTCATTGGGCTCTTTCATGGGGACATTTGAACATGCTAAAACCTTGCTCCATCTATGGAGATCCTGATTTAATTGGCTGGTGGTGGACAAGATATGGATATGTTTGTTTTGATGTTTCTAACATTCAGCAAGGATTGAAAGCCACTACTATAAATTAAACTGGTAGTTCTCGAACTACAGATATGTGCAAGTCTTTTCTATGTACTTTATGGTGAGAGTATAGATGCCTAACAAGCTTCAAGGTGCTGCTGCTGTTGCTGGTGCTTCATTGACCTCAATTTATATAGCAAGGGGTTAATGAATCAAAGCACAAGATATCTGTTTAACTCCAGATGCATTCCTCTAGATATGTGCCACCGGGGCCCTAACGGAACTGTCAAAGTTGCACTTAAGAAATGTCTACTCCCCCAGCATTCTCTGGAGTTCTGACAATTAACCCTAAGAAGCAACATTTATAGAAGTTGAGAAAGCATTCTAGCTGAGAGATACTACAATTCCGAGATTAAAACAAAACCACCAGAATGACATATAGAATCCCATATTCAGCCTAAAAGAAGTCTGGTGTTTCTTATTGTCACTTTGGAGCCATCATCTACTAATATCAACTCCATCTTAAATAATAGGATGTATGCCAGCAGAGAATAAACAATCTGAATTAGAGCATAGGCTCTACAGAGCCCCATATCACTGTTAATTAACTTATAGCACACTCAAGTGAAGAGCAAATTGAGATGACCAGAATTCTAATCGGACATCAAGGATGTTTAATGGTACCATTCTCTGAGATCAGAAACAAAGAGAAGGAAATAACATGGTTATTTCCCACCATAGTTCCAAAAAATAGTACTCAGATACAGATTCGTGAAGCTGATTAAAAATTAAGACCAGAGCCGGGCGGTGGTGGCGCACGCCTTTAATCCCAGCACTCGGGAGGCAGAGGCAGGAGGATCTCTGTGAGTTCGAGACCAGCCTGGTCTACAAGAGCTAGTTCCAGGACAGGCTCCAAAACCACAGAGAAACCCTGTCTTGAAAAACCAAAAAAAAAAAAAAAAATTAAGACCAGGACTAAAGGGATGGCTCAGCAATTAAGAACACTTGCTGTCCTGGCAGAGGACCCAGGTTCTTTTCTCAGAACTTATATGACTGCTCATAACCACCTTTATCTCCAATTCTAGGAGATCCAATGTCCTCATCAGCCTCACAAGTATTGAACACGTGGTGAACTTACACACATGAGACAAAACACTCATACACATCGAATAAAAATAAGCAAATCTTTAACAAACAAAATTAAATGCTTGTCAAAGACAAAAGTAATAACTCAGTCAATGGTGTGGTTTCCTGTTTTCTTTGTGTGCTACACAATGAGCCTAAGGGCCAGGGATAGCTGTGCATTTCGGCTCTCTGTATCTGCATCCCATGACTGTTCAGCTGGCCCTGGAGCTGCCTAATCCCTGATGTGTGGCACATGCTTCTGGGTGTGGGTGGTGTCTCGAGGTGTCTTTTACCATCATATAATGACTCGGTGTGATGATGAAGGCAATCTGGACATAAGAATGCATCAACTGGATATTCTAGCCTATGCTGTCATTAGATTTCTATAGCTGCTGCCAAGCATCCTTGGCACAGGGAGGAGGCATCTTAGCACTTTTATACCCTGGCTTGATTGAGCACCTGGTCCAGCACTTTGCCTAGCCTTCATCAGCCAGGCTTTATTTGTACTGAGATTATACATGGGCGTGAGAATTCAGAATAAAAGCAAAAAGGAGCACAGAATAAAGCCCTTGCCTACTTAGGGTTTAGTTCATTTGAACAAGAGCTCTATCTTTCAATGCTTCTCCATTCATGCTTTGTTTCTCCCCACAACAAGACTTTAAGCAGCACAACTCTGCCCAGACCATTTCCTTATGAGTCTCATTACCATCAACTCTCCTATGGTCCATCTTCTGTGTGTTAGAACATATCTTTCAAACCAATTAACCAGGCCGAGAGAGATGGTTCAGTGGTTAAAAACATGTATTCCTTTTGTAAGCAACCAGGGTTCAGTTTCCTGTACCCACATGTGACAAGGATAGTCACAACCATCCTTAAACCCAGTTCCAGGGGATCCAATGCCTTCTTCCAGCCTCTATGGGTACCAGGGATACATATGGTACACAAAAATATATGCAAGCAAAAATACCATACAAATAAATACATCTTTAAAATATTTCAAAACAACCTGAGCGGTGGTGGCACATGCTTTAATTCCAGCACTCAGGAGGCAGAGGCAGGTAGATCTCTATGAGTTCAAGGCCAGCCTGGTCTACAAGAGCTAGTTCCAGGACAGGCTCCAAAGCTACAGAGAAAGCCTGTCTTGAAAAAAAAATCAAAACAAAACAAAACAAAAAGATTCAAAACACAAAGTATGTAAATTATAATTTTCTAATAAATTCTCATTTCCTACAGAATAACTTCAAATATTCATAAGTCTGACCCAAAAGAACAACTTTCCCAACCCCCAACTCCTTATGACCTTTAGCCCACTCAGTTTAGATAGCCGTGTATACTCTAACCCCAGGAATTCTATTCTTTCCCATGCTCATGTGCCCTCCTGGGCCTTAAGTTCAATTCTTTCTCCCCAGGATGCTATATCTCTCCTTCTGGATCTGATAAATTACGATTCATTTTTAAAAACCACTTTCACTTTGGAATAGTTTTTAGAATAACAGAAAAGCTGTGGAGGTTTCACTAATCATCCCTAACACCCATCTCCCCTGACGCTAAGGTGCAAACATAGCACACATTATTATCATACATTAGCATGTTGCATTCATCACAGCTAATTAATGTTTCTCATAGGCTCCAGGATTTATGCAAAGCTGCACTAGATCTGGTCTCCAGAGTCACAGACTCAAGCTAAGTCTCTGGGGCAGTTGTGGGATCTGATTTCCTGCTCTACTCTCTGGACCATAGCTGCAGCTGGCCTTGCTCCTTCCCACCACTTGGTTCCAGCATTGCCTCAGACACCACTGTGGCCTCTTCTCCATAAACAATGGTTATAGCTGGTGTGGATTTGGAGAATATGGGAGCTTGAAGGTATGAGATTAGCAGGTTTTATGAATGAGCCATGTATTGTAGCTGTTTTCATCATTTACGTGAATGACCTCAGAGCACCTGAGACACAGAAGGTCATCAATGAGTATTTGCTCAATATATTTACTCTGATTCCATTTTCTTAGTTATAAAATAGAATACATTTGTACTTCCTGCCTACCAAGTTGAGAGTTTGTTAAAGGAATAAAATAATCTTGAAATAACCTATCATATAATAGCTTAATTAAGAATCACCAATGGGTTGTAAATGTGTTTCCTAGAACCCAAATTTTAAGTACAGAAAAAAGTATTTATAAAAACACAACAAAGTATGTTAAGGTGTGCTGCATGTCGGCAGAGCTGTAGCAAACAGCCATTATTACCTGTGTTATGCTCATCTTCTTTTAATCAGATTTTCACTACATAAGCAGGAAGGGAAAGGGAGCTTTAGATAGACAGTAAGTAGCACAATGAGTGCATAAAATTCGATCACGTGCTTTTCTGGGAACTGAAAGTCAAAGGTACATCTAGACTCTTACCTGCGATTAAGGTAAGGTCTTTCTAAAACAAATAAGCAAATAAATCCATGTTCTGGCTACAAGGAATCATGGGGAAGGGGCCTCCATCTCCTAGAGAAGGCATATTGGTAATTTACCATTATCTCATATCCTAAAGGTGCCATGCTAGAATAGGGCCCCTGAAACTCAGTGGGTCTGGAAACAGAGAAGTAACCACAGGTACCCAGACCATGAAGATAGAAAATCCTTCTCTATTAAGAAAGTGGGATGACATTGAACATTTTTGTTAGTCTTCAGTCAAATCTGATGGAAGAACATTTAAATCAAAGTGGACATCATAAGAAAGGGAAAAGAGAAAAACTTTCTAAGCCTGTTGTCATCCTTATCTTTGGTTCTGAAAGTGCCCGGGACTTAAAGGGTTTTTTGTTTTGTTTTCTTTTCTTAATATCAACTTTCTCTCTTTGGCCTTTAGGCATCCTGTAGCCTGCTAAGGAAGAAGAGCTACTTCAAAGTGAAACACAAATACTGTCTTTCAAACACATCAAAGTGTAGCCATGTTCCAGGATTCAGGATCCTTCGTGT